TATAATTCAATTCCTAATATTGATATTGGTAAAAATAAATTTTACGCAGGTGAAATTGAAGTTACTATACCAACAGGAAGTTATGAAATAAGTGATATTGATAAAACTTTGAGTTTTATGCTAAAAGATAAAGGCATTAATTTTAAAATTAAACCTAACAATAATACCTTAAAAAGTATAATTTACTGTGACAAAGAAATTAATTTCATACCTAACGACTCTATTGGCAGCTGGTTGGGATTTTCTTCACGAAAATTAAGTGCTCAAGAATACCATGAATCTGATCAACCAGTATCAATAATTATAATTAATTCCTTGCGAGTGGAGTGCAGCATAACTACAGGGGCATACATTAATGGTGAAAAAGTACATACAATTCACCAATTTTTTCCTGTTGTTCCACCAGGATATAAAATAGTAGAAGTACCAAATCACGTCATTTATCTGCCAGTCTCTGTCAAGACAATAGGTTATATTCAATTGCGAATTGTTGATCAAAACGGTCATTTGGTTAATTTTCGAGGAGAAACCATAACAATTAGATTACACATCAAGTCCCTTGGGTGATGGGTATTGTTTTTAACAACAAAAATAAGGTTGGTTACGGTTATAAAACGAAAACGCGATGTCAAAAACAATTCAGCCAACGGAAAATTCTGAAGAGATTAACTCCTCAAAATCTGCAGCTCCTGAAAAATCTGGGACTAAAGGTTGTAAAAAGAAGAGAACGAGTAAATTAAAGTTATTCTGTACGTGTGTATGTGTATTTATATATCGCACTATTATTATTTGCTATGGAAGAGGAAATATTAAGTATTGAAAAACCAATCATTTTCGATGAGTCTATTGCGCATTACGAAGTGCATGCGCAGCAACCATATACATCATCAACATATAATAATAGTGACGAAATTCGAATCACTGTCCAAAATCAAGACCATTGTCTACATCCAAGCAAAAGTTCGCTTCATATAAGTGGAAGACTTTTAAGAAATGATGGAACAGCTGTAGCAAACACTTCTATAATTTCCAATGGGATCTGTCATTTATTTGAAGAAATAAAATATGAACTTAATGGTGTAGAGATTGATAAAAATAAAAATGTAGGTTTTACAAGTTTAATGAAAAATTACGTTTCATTTGATGTTAGTCAAAGCAAATTTCTTGAAAATGTTGGTTGGTTGGAATTTAATAATGATAATAGCACATTGACTAATGCGCAAGGTTACTTTGATATTTGCGTACCATTAAATATGCTTTTCGGTTTTGCGGAAGATTATCAAAAAATTATTGTTAACGCTAAACATGAGCTAATTATTATAAGATCGAGAATTGACTCAAATGCAGTTTTTCAAGTTGCACCTGTTGAAGAATTCAATATAATTATTGAAAAAATTGAATGGTTGTTGCCTTATATCAAATTGTCTGATGCTCGAAAATATAAATTATTAAAGTATATTGAAAAGGATCCATCTATTCGAATTAGTTTTAGAACTTGGGAATTATATGAGTATCCTTTACTACCATTGACTCAGAAGCATATCTGGAGTATAAAAACTTCAACACAGTTAGAAAAACCTAGATTCATTATATTAGGATTTCAGAAAAACAGGAAAAATAATACTCTATTAAATTCAAGTTACTTTGACCATTGTCAAATATCAGATGTAAAATTATTTTTAAATTCAGAAAGTTATCCATATGGTAATATAAATCTTAATCTTAATAGAAATCAATATTCTATGCTTTATGAAATGTATACGAATTTCCAAGCGGGGCGCATGAATATCACATAATGATCATTTGATAGAATTATCAATATTTCGGAATTCTTTGTTTAGAATTGACATTTACCAGAAATCAATTAATTCTAATTACATTTTAGATAAAATTTGATGCCAATGAAAACTTATTTGGATGATTAATAATGTTGTAGAATTATCTCTTGATCGAATTAATATTTATTTGAAAGATAATATAATATCATTTTCAAACCGCGAACTTGTAGTTAATTGAATTTCAATTATTGCGAATTTTGAGAGAACAGAGATTATGGATAAAAGAATATTCATGTGTAGAAATGTTTGTGCACTTAATTATGATTTAGAGGAATTTGTAGGATTTAGAATATTCTGATAAGAGCATATCTATTTAACATGATATCCAATTGTCAAAATTTTAATACAATTACTTATTATTTAAAAGAATTTTAATTCAACCAAAATTCCATTAAATAGTTTTCATATGTAGCAAAAAAAATAATTAATACAAATTTTTGTTAGTAGAAAGTGTATTTTAGTGAATTTTCATTTGATTATATTTTTGGGAGACATAATTTTAAACGACAGTAAGCTGCTTACAATCAAATTTTTGTGTACCCGACTTTGAATTTATTAAAAGTTTTATTCATAATAATTATTAATTGAATTAATATTATTTTCTCAACATAAAGATTAAAAGAATGAAAAAGATAATAAAATGTTATGAGAAAGAAATTTTATTTAAAACAAAGTATGTTCAATATAATTGTTGGTTAACACAATTTGTTTTAAGTACAAATTTTATGTTATATATGTAATATTTAATGAAAAGTTTATTTATTCAAATTCTCATTTAGTTTAATTTTTTAATAACCTAACTAACATGTGAATAGATTTTTGCTTAAATTACTTTATATTTGACATAAGATTCATATCGTCGAACTATCATATGAGCAACATTTTTTAAATTAAATCTTATTTAACACTATTGCAATATAAACGAATGTTTGTATAACTGAATTTTTGAATGATCGAACTTTTATTTGATAAAATTTTTAACTCACCAAAATGTCAAATAATAGAATTCAATTTAAGGTACGAGTTTCCACTCAATGTTCAGTTTGTTTTTGGTCGCTTGCTAATGCAGATAGCGCCACGTATAGTTTCTACAGTGCATTGCAAATGTGCGTGAAATTCAAAATAGTGAAATTATATATAATTACAAGGTAAGTGGAAAAATTTGAAATTTATAAATATTCTTTTGTATATTTCTTTCATTTTTAATGTATAATGTTCTAAACGATTTAATGATTTAAAACTTTTATAATTAGTTAGTTTAAATGACATTCGATCAACATATATATCTTATCATATGAGAAATTTTACCTTTAAATTTTATACGATAGATACCGTTACTCTGACGAATTATGTATTTTTCTTCTGTTTTTAATTTTTTTTTAAATATGTCAAACCAATTATTATAAATGAAGATAATCATTGTACAAAAATTATTGTGAAAATATTATTCAGTTTAATTTTACATATAATAATATTAAAAATGTGAATAAAAAAATTGTATAGATCTAATATTATACAATAATGTATTTTTTTCAATGAAAAGAATAAAATATTAATACAGGAAGTAAATAGGGACGAACTTTTAAATTTTCTAAATTAATTTTATATGAATTATAAATAATATAAATATCAGATTTGTTTCATTAAAAGGTAATTGTTTTAAATCAGATACAATGTTGTAATAATATTTCTATAAGAAAAATTTCAAATTATTCAATTTTCTCTTAATTGAATTGATTACTCATTTGAAGTTATTTTTAATTTTTCATAAAAGACAATAGATTTTCTTAACATTTTATTTAAATAATCTTTGATAGTTTTCTAATGTAGGGTAAATGCTCTAATTACTGCGCGATTCGAGTCAAAACATCTATGAAATAGAAAATTGGACATTTTGATTGTATAAAGTAAATTTAAGACTTATTAAACTCAAAAGCTTATGTTATTTAGATATTTAAAAAAATTAACTTTATAAAAATCAATTATTTTAACAAATATGAGAAATTAAAACTAATAGCGTAATTTTCTATTACCGCGCGTTTGTATCTGTTTCGGTGTGTCAATTTCGGTGACCAAAATTACGTGTATTTTGAAGATACTATGCCCGTCGTAATTGAAGCCAATGGAAATCTTAAAAATCTTTCAATTACGATAAGGGAACAAATTTGATCTCAAATAATTAAATTAATACGTAATTGTTTAAATGTGCATCTTTTTGCTTCCTCGTGGAGGAATAGCTTATAGGAATAGTTTATAAAACTTTTCAAAGTGGCGGAAACAAATTTTTTTCTTTATAGAAACATGTTATATGAGATCCTGATCAATTGTCCGGATGTATGTATGTGTGTGTGTATGTGTGTGTGTGTGTGGATCCCTTTTTTGTTTAGAAGATAACTTTAACAGGTTTTAATGGATTTAGATAAAATTTGGTACTCTCATTTATCATATTAATATCTCAAATCTGACCAAAGGATTTTGAAAAATACCCCAAAAAAAAATTTTATCGTCTTTTTTCCAAAAATTTTTTTTTAATTGAAAAAATTTTTAAATAGAAAAATTTAAGGTTATATATAATAAAATCGTATTCCTTACGTCAAGATGAATCGATAGATATATATAAAGTATACATTTGAGGTAAATTTAAAGAATTAATGAAAGTTAAAAAATCAAAAATTCACATTTTGGCAATAAAATTTTGCTTTCTCCACGAGGAAGCAAATTATTTTGCTGATCGTAAAGAGGAAGCAAAATGTTCATGTAATGAACATCTGAATTTACAACTTGTTTAGTAATTGTATTAAAAAAAAAGATTTAAATCATTTTTTAAAATTATTTTGCAACAGTTATATTAAATATAAAAGTAATTTATTTATTTATTTATTAATATACGGGACTAAAAAGAAATTTACCATTTGTACATATAGTATTTAAATATTCAAATAATTACCTAATAATAATTAATTAATTTAATATTTTACAATAAAAAAAATTATACTAAAATAATTTTCTTAGCCACCTTTATTTTTATATACTCTTTATTTGTATCTCTTCCTATTTATTTAAAAACTAAAAAAGTATAAAACGTCAGAAATGACACAAATTCTACTTAAATAAATATCACAGATACATAAACAGAAAATAAAATTAAGTCCAAATGTTTCTCTACCATGCCGATGAATTATGAGCCAAAAGTTTTGAACGTTCAAATGAACGAAATTTTTAACTTAAAAGTACGAATTGTATTACAAAATATTGTTTTATATAACTAAAAAAGTGTTATTTATTTAATAATTGTTTAATTTACTGTTTTATTTTACATTTTCATTATAATTTTTAATAATTTATGGAGTGAAAAAATTTTTTTTGTTCATTTGAACGTTCAGAACTTTTAGCTCATGATGAATCTTATTTTAACAAATATCTTGACTTTATTCCAAATTTCTAGAGTGTGCTTTTAAATCTTAAACAATTATTAAGAAAAATAAAATTTACCCTACATTCATTTAAACAAACTTCTTATCTTTACTTAAATCCTTTAGTCATTTAAGTTTACGTTGAAATAAGCTTCAAGTGGGTCGATAAAGATGTTTACACATTTTTGTAAAAACTGCTTTGTTGTTAGGCCTCCTGGTTGGTGAAGTTGTCTCCAGGCATCTAAAATTTGGGCGTCTTTTATAACATTCGTTGTTTTGGGCAGTCTGCTGTTGTGACCTCGTTCAAGAGACTTCAAATCAATTTCCAGGCATGCTTGATATTTTACAAGGTTATCTGCAATAAGGAATTGTTTAAATATAATATTATTTTCATTGAAAATAGCACTTTCTTATTTTCTTCGATTTTTAATTTTTAATCAATTTTATGGGCAAAGTAGACAATTTATGGTTACATTTAGGTATTAATTTTATCGTTTTTTCTAAAAATGGTTACTATCTTTGTATGTACTTCTGATAACCGAGCTTAATAAATATTGTCATACTATTTAATTCACGGATTTGTGGATTTTTTTTTTAAATACTAAAAAATTTTTACATTACATTTTACCAAACCGATATTATACCGATTAGACTTTAGACAGACTGAAAATTATACTGATTAGGCTTTAAACTAACTGGACATTATACCGATTAGATATTATGCGAATATGTATCAGATCGACTAGACATATACGCACTAAACTTGTACGATTCTAATTCAATAAAAATTGGTTTTCATTGTTATTAAAATGTTTAAATAAATAATTATAAACTGACTACTTAATTGAAATCTATGCGATTCTGGTGGAATAAATTAAGAATAAAAAGTTGACAATTATAAATCATTACAGAATCTTACCACTAAAAGTCCAAATGTTTGAATGCAATCCGAACCGGTCTTTTAATGTTCTGTGATATGATTCGATGTTATTATTAGTACGCCTACGAAGGTTATGAACACTAAAAATTTGAGGTGTTACTTTTCTTAACCATTGTCGCCGGTAGTAACGAAGAAGAGGCCCCATAATTCGTCGTGTAGGAGCAGATAAGGAAGTTACAAGTTCATTGAAAGCTCGTTCAATTTCATTTGCCGGTAGCAATGGTAAAGCCATAATTTCTCTAAGAGCATGAAGTCTTTCTGGAAACTGATCTAAAGCTGCATCTAGTCGTAACTTTTTCTTTTTTTTTAAAAGAGCCTACAAATAAAGTTTCTATTAACACATTAATTCTATGTACAAGAATATATAGGTTTACAATTTTTTACATGGTCGATTCCACATCAAAGGAGATTAAGTCGACCTCTTAAAATAGATTAAATTTTTATGTACTTAACATAAAAAAGATTGTTCATTGTTAATTTTTTATTATTGTTTGTATTTTCTTAATTGGTTTTTAAATGCAGACTTATTTTCAGAGGTGTGTAATTTGATAATTATTAAATTTTACAAATTCTGTTAAGAGAATAAAAAGTTTCAGTTTCTTTCGATTATTTCGATTCGATTTTCGATAAATATTAACGACATTTTTTTTAAATTTATATTTTAAAAATAATAATTTTTAATAAAGTTTATTAAAAATTAATATTTTCATTTATTATTATTTTTTTTTATTGTAAACAAATTTTTATTCTTTCAGGTCATTTGAAAAAAAGTATGAATATATGTGACCGGGTCTGAGAAAACGGTGTTATCGACCAAAATCAACTTTTCGAGAAAAACGCGTTTTAAGTCTTACTACTAATTAAAATATATTTCTTGAAACATTTAATATTTCAAAGGACCTAGATAAGTGTTTCTTATGTATTTTTTATGCTGAATACGATTTTTATGGTTAAATAATTTTTTGAACATCAGTCTTATTGTTATAAATAATTTGTTTTGCAAAAGTAAAAATATGAAATTTTAAAATTTAATTTAAACGACTTGCTGATGTCCTAGAGGACTAGTTGCATTGTATTTTTAGGACCTTAAACTATAAGAAACCATCATTAAAAAAATTGATGAGTATGAATGAGTATGAAGATACATTTGTTTAACGGCATTTAAGAAACTCCAACGTTACCTAGAATGGGAAAATGTGTTTTGCGAAAACCAAAACTTTCTCTAAAATGAAAAAATATTTTGGGCTAAAATTTTTAGGATTAATAGAAAAGGGTACAATGCACATCGATTTTATTCTGAAAAAATTTAATTATGCCATATTGGATCCGCCATTTTGAATTTGGAAAACTGACACCGGATTTGTAATCAGCGACCCCAAAAACTCATATATTGTAAGATTTATAAAATATCTTCACGTTCTCAGAATTTTGTACACCCTACTAAGAATTTGCAATAAAAAATCTACTTTAGTCGCCATTTTGAAATAAAATTTCAAAAATACTCTTACCTTGAAGCTTGACTATCCATGCCACGATATATGTATCAATAAAACATATTCTTTTTCGGTAAAGTGCCCAAAAAAATTCATAAATCAAAAATAAAACTAAAAAAATCGTGTTTTTTATTGAAAAATTGCTTGCCATTTGTTTATTTATAAACATACATTAATTTTCAGTGCGGATTTGGAAAGAGCGATTCTTAAACTATCAGCAATGGGCATTGCAAAATTTTTCTCTTTATTTTTATCACAAAGAACAGGAGTCAAACTTCAAGAACAAATCGTGTACATTTGGTCCTTAATGGGTTAACCAACAATTATATTGAACATCCTTTTTTTTAAATAAAATTTCTTTCTCATAACATTTTATTATCTTTTTCATTCTTTTAATCTTTATGTTGAGAAAATAATATTATTTCAATTAATAATTATTATGAATAAAACTTTTAATAAATTCAAAGTCGGGTACACAAAAATTTGATTGTAAGCAACTTACTGTCATTTAAAATTATGTCTCCCAAAAATATAATCAAATGAAAATTCACTAAAATACACTTTCTACTAACAAAAATTTGTATTAATTATTTTTTTTGCTACATATGAAATCAATTTAATGGAATTTCGGTTGAATTAAAATTCTTTTAAATAATAAGTAATTGTATTAAAATTTTGACAATTGGATATCATGTTAAATAGATATGCTCTTATCAGAATATTCTAAATCCTACAAATTCCTCTAAATCATAATTAAGTGCACAAACATTTCTACACATGAATATTCTTTTATCCATAATCTCTGTTCTCTCAAAATTCGCAATAATTGAAATTCAATTAACTACAAGTTCGCGGTTTGAAAATGATATTATATTATCTTTCAAATAAATATTAATTCGATCAAGAGATAATTCTACAACATTATTACTCATCCAAATAAGTTTTCATTGGCATCAAATTTTATCTAAAATGTAATTAGAATTAATTGATTTCTGGTAAATGTCAATTCTAAACAAAGAATTCCGAAATATTGATAATTCTATCAAATGATCATTATGTGATATTCATGCGCCCCTTCCAAGCTGTATACTATGGCAAAGAATCTCAGCCACTTTTAACAAAAAAGGAATTTTTGCAATTTGCCCCCTTAGTTGTAATTGATTGTTCTAAACAAAATGAATCGTTAAAAAGTGGTCCAGTTGATATTCGTTTAGAAATTGAGTTAAGAGAAAACTTTCAAGGCAACACTTCAGCATATTGTTTAATTTTGCATGATCGCATCGTTGAGTATAAACCATTAAGTGGTATTGTAAAAAAGATTATATAATTTTGTTAAATTAAATAATTAATTAAATTTTTAAACAATTGTAATTTTAATTATTACTGTAATTTTATTATGAATAAAAAATAGAAGAAATTCTTTTATAATTTCAAATTAATTAATTTTTTAAATAATTGTAATTTTTAATTAAATTAAAAAAATTAATTAATTATATTAAAAATACTTGTTAAAATGAAAAGAAAGATCAAAAAGTACTCTTCATATGTAACTAATTCAATACTACGTTATGTGAATGAATTTAATTTGATGTTTACGTATTAAGTCGCACTCGACCTTGTGTAAAATTTGTCGTAGGTCGTGTATACTTATAAGACATATATGTATATCACATACAATTAGTTTGCTTTATAATATCTTCTAATAATTTTTTATTCTGATTTTATATTTAATTAGTAAGAAAAAATGTTATTATTATTTTATTAATAAAAACAGTAATTTTAATTATAATTGTACGTAAAATGAAGAAAAATAAAAAGATAAATCAAACTTGCAAGTTTTTAATTTTATTTTACACGGATATCCAAATTTTTTTTATAAAGTTATTTTTATAACATATAATTTAATAAATTATTAATATGAATTATTATTTTTAAAATTTTTTTTTTAAAAATATAGTAAAGTAAGCATAAATTTTATTTAAAAAATAATTAAATTAATTTTTTAATTCGTTTTGTAATAATTAATGAAATAGTTTCTCAATAGGAAAAAAAGAAATATTTTAAATAAATTGCTTATTATTAAAACTGTAGTCTATAAAAAATTATTTTTATTTATAATTAAACACACAGGAATAAAATATTTTTGTATTTTATTTTATATGTTCTGTACAAATATAAAAAATATGTGTAAGAATTTTGTATAAGAATGTGTATAATGTGTATAAGAAAAAGAAGAAATAATAAGTAATATATAATTTTATACATATAATAGAGTGTAAACGTCCATTGACTTCTAAATATTATTTCATTCATTCTTTATTCTCCTTTTCTTCTTCTCCTCTCCCCTCTTCAGGCATACGTTGCTCACCTACGCCTTCTACTGTATCACCATCGTCAATGCCTTGAGTCCCCTTCCCTTCTCCCGCCTCTTCTACTTCCATCGGTTGCTCTCCTGTATTAGAAGCAGCTGGTTCTCTCTCGCCATCCTCCACACCTTCTACCACATCAATGCCTTCGTCCTCCTCGCCATCTTCTGTTTTTTTAACGTCCATAGGTTCCTCGCATTCGGACTCTGCATAATTATTTAAGCTGCTTTCTAGTTCCCAAATTAAATTATTATTTTCTTTTTCAGCTTGCATGACATCTTGTTCTTCATATTCCGCTAAGTGACATTCTTCAATTTGAATTTCTAAATTATTGCAATCGAAATCATTTAATCCATCGTCCAAATTTTGTGGTGAAAAATGAGCAGGAACTTCTAAATAAGGTTTTTTTTCTAAATGAAACGATTAAGGTCCTGTTTTTTTAACTTCAACTATTGAATTATTATAACGCAAGTAAACGTTATCATCATCCTTTTTATTACAAAAACAACCATAGTTATGGACAGCTATTGTTATCATCAGAGTGTCCCTTAATTTTGAAATATCAATGTCTTCTGTCATTCATTCTGAAGGAATGTCTACTGACATTTCAAAAGACGAGTAAAAGTCACCACTCTGTAAAAAAAATATTATTTAATATTAAAATAGAATCAAAAATAATTATTTATATATTTTCAATTAATTTATTTAAAAAATGTTATAGTTGTAACTTTTTATTATTTAATTATTTTATTTTATTATTTATTTATTTTACTTTTTTAAATAACTTTACTTACTAATATATCTTCGACTGTAAATCCACGTCTCTTGATAAAATATCCCTGCCGTGTTTTTATAATTTCGGCTTTAATTCCTTTAAGGGGGGGGGTATAGTTAATTCGGTGAAAATAATGCATACTTTTAAGAATTTTTTTTGGCGATACAAAGAAAGTTAATATATTTATTAAATTTTTATATAATAGTACAACATTTGAAAAGTATTTCACCAAATTTTCATTGCAAAATATTGCGAATTGAGCGAGTAAGAGCAAATCTCCTCAGGCGCTTGCAAAAAAAGTTATTTTACGGTGTACACTCTAACTCGCAACAGAATCATCTAAAACAAAAAAACCAAGATGCATTAGTCAAAGGAGATGTTTCTCGAGGTAACGCTGGGAGGATTTTTTTTTCATTTTTCGATTTTTCGTAACACATAAAAGCCAAAAAACCGATTTTTTCTATAAAAAATCGACGAATTTGTTATTGTAAAATGAGTAATTTTTTAAAAAACAAAAAAAGCTCCCAGGGTTACCTCGAGAAACATCTCCTTTGACTAATGCATCTTGGTTTTTTTGTTTTAGATGATTCTGTTGCGAGTTAGAGTGTACACCGTAAAATAACTTTCTTTGCAAGCGCCTGAGGAGATTTGCTCTTACTCGCTCAATTCGCAATATTTTGCAATGAAAATTTGGTGAAATACTGTTCAAATGTTGTACTATTATATAAAAATTTAATAAATATATTAACTTTCTTTGTATCGCCAAAAAAAATTCTTAAAAGTATGCATTATTTTCACCGAATTAACTATACCCCCCCCCCTTAAATAATAATGTCGTCTTTCCATCAGGAATTAAAGTTCCGGTTATTATGTCTTTCGCTCGCATTGCTAATGGAATTATGCACAATTTCTTAAAAGTTTGATGATTTACACATGAATGAAGCCAAGCTGAAGGAGCAGTAATTCTAATTGATACCCTTCTGTACGACATTTTTTTTATTTCTGTAAATTAAATATAACAAAAATTTTAAGCCTTAAATAAGCTTTAATTTTTAAAATTCATTATAAAAATTTTGAATATAAATGTTCTTTAAATGAATAATTCAAATAAACAAATTAAAAGTTAATTAAAAAATTAATAAAATCCAACAAATAAATTAAAAACTCTAGTTAAAATATTTAAAAATTTAATGAAAACCAATAAATATAAAGTTAATAAAATGAAATTGTTAAATCAATTGAAGTCAATTAAATAAAAAATTAAGAAACTTATATTTAAAAAATCAAATAAATAAAAAATAATACATAAAATTTATTTAATTATGAAGAAATTTATTAAAATTTGTGAAAGAATTAAATAATTTATTAAAATTACTTTAATAAAACGATTAAAATATTTGATTAATAAATAAATTTAAAATAAAAATTTTAAATGAGGTTTTAATTTGTAAAATAAAATAAATTATTAAATTAATGTATGAAAAATTCTGTTAAATAAAATAAATTTTACTGTTAAAATTAAATAATAAATTCAAATTAATTTGAAATTTTGCTTACAATTTGCGAAAAAGGCACTAGAAAAAATCACAAAAGCACAATATGTTTAGTTCACTCAACTTGAATGCACTTTATGTGATTTAATTTATGTGGTTGTCACTTGTATAATGAAGCTCCCTTGCATCAGCCTTCTTTTTATACCCAAGCCAAATTGTTTATAAAACTTGAGACAAAGATAAGCCCCAGACAGCACCGTTTTTCGCAGGGAGTTCGCGGGGAGTTCCCCGTGTTAAGTTCGGAAACTAAGTTGGGGAGCTTCAGGGGAAGTTCAGGCGAGCTCTATATGTCCTCGGTTTTATAACTCGCGGTGCGAAGTTCAGGATAGTTATCCGATTAAGTTTGCCGAAAAATTGTGGATAAAAGTTTAGGAAATATTAAATTTTGAGTTTTACAGAAATTTGCTTTGTGAATTTCTTTAAAACTATCTCCGGAAAGTACTCTAAAGATATATAGACAAATTTCCTGTAAAATTAAAATGCAAGTTTTCAGTGAATTTTATAAGGTAAGTTTATTATAAATGTTTTATAATATTTATTAAATAAAAGTAAAATTAAAAAAATTTATTTTTCCCTTATTGCGCTTTCTTTTATTTTTCCCCAACATTAACGGCGCAATTTTCGGAAATAAATTTGGAGGAGCTGGGGATTGAACCCGGACGCGCAACACAACAGCCAAGAACCCTAACCACTAACCTAACCAACGACCTGAAGGTGGGTAACTTTCGGGTCTTTATAAGCTGCAAGCCTTGTCGTCATCAGTTGACACGAATGGCGGGAAAATTTAAAAATGTTTTCAACGAAAGATTTTTAAATTCTATTATTAAATTAGTGTCATAATTAAAAGGGCATTGAAATAATATTGCAATGTTAATATTAATATTCTTTGTGAAAGTAGCAGCTATATAAAACGATTTAAGGTAATTCTTTAAAAATGAAATTTATTAAATACTGAATCTCGTTATAAAAAATTCTGGACTTGTCAAATTTTTATTAAATTATTATTCAATTAAAAGTAACATAATTAGAAAAACTTTTTGAACATTTATCAACGTATGTTTATGGCTTTTATCATTAATTAATTAATTAAATTTACCGAGATGTACCGTAAAATGGGGTAAAGTCGGCGTTTGCGGGTAAAGTCGGCCGGCGCTTTTAACACTTAAATATTGTATTTCATTTATTAATTTACATTAATTCTAACTACATTTTTAATAAAACTCGGATTTCTTCTGGAAAAAAGTAATAGTTAAACTTTAAAATGATTTAAAGCGCCGGCCGACTTTACCCCCAAACGCCGACTTTACCCCATTTTACGGTATGGTGGACATTTAAATCGTCAATTTGTAATTTGATAAATTAATTTAAAAATTAAAGTATCTGCATTTTATAATAAATATTTATAATTATTTGTCAATAATAATATAAATTATTTATAATAATTGTAAATAAATTTCTTGCATTCTTTAAATCAAAATTTTTTATACAACGCAATGTTTTTTCATATTTTTTATAATAAAGAAACTTATTATTAATTTTTATATCTATAAATTAATTAAAAATCGTAATTAGCTACGATTATTTCATTTATATTTTTAACTATTTAATATTATTTAAGTATTAATATTTAATATATTATTATTTAATAAATATTTACCTATTGAGCAATGTTGTGAATTGACCAGGGAAAAACAGGAAAAAGCTTTATTGCTGGATTTTAAGACGGTTACGTGAAAAACTTGTCTTTTTTCAAAATTCGATAAAGACATAATTTTTATTTAAGACTTTTAGAAAATTGTAAAAACAATTGTATTTCCAAAACGGTTCACAGTTATTTGAAAAAACAATTATCTCACAAAACTAGATTTTAATACTTTTTGCTTCCTCGTGGAGGAAGCTTTGTAGTCCTTTCATTTATAAAACTTTTCAAAGTGGCGGAAACAAATGTTTTTCTTTATAGAAACATGTTATATGAGATCCTGATCAATTGTCCGGATGTATGTATGTGTGTGTGTGGATCCCTTTTTTGTTTAGAAGATAACTTTAACAGGTTTTAATGGATTTAGATAAAATTTGGTAGGCTCATTTATCATATTAATATCTCAAATCTGACCAAAGGATTTTGAAAAATATCCCAAAAAAAAAATTTTATTGTCTTTTTTCCAAAAATTCGTTTTTAATCGAAAAAATTTTTTAATAGAAAAATTTAAGGTTATATATAATAAAATCGTTTTCCTTACGTCAAGACGAATCGATCGATATATATAAAGTATACATTTAAGGTAAATTTAAAGAATTAATGAAAGTAAAAAAATCAAAATTTCACATTTAGGCTATAAAATTTTGTGATTTTTTAAATTGAAGTTTATATATGAAATAATTGTATTCCTTACGTCAAGACGAATCGATCGATATATATAAAGTATACATTTGAAGTAAATTTAAAGAATTAATGAAAGTTAAAAAATTAACATTTTGGCAATAAAATTTTGCTTTCTCCACGAGGAAGCAAATTTTTTTGCTGATCGTAAAGAGGAAGCAAAATGTTCATGTAATGAACATCTGAATTTACAACTTGTTTTTAAATCTAATAAAAGTGACTGGATGAGTTAAATCCTCCTATAATTAAATTGATGTTGGTACAATAAAAAAATCCTTCCTTTTTTATTTAAATTTTGAATCAATTTTTGTAAATACATAAATTTTTTTTAAATTACTATATATATTATACGACTTGTTACAGTGTGTTTTGTGTTTTAATACAGATATGTTTTTTTATTATAAAAAATATGAAAAAACATTGCGTTGTATAAAAAATTTTGATTTAAAGAATGCAAGAAATTTATTTACAATTATTATAAATAATTTATATTATTATTGACAAATAATTATAAATATTTATTATAAAATGCAGATACTTTAATTTTTAAATTAATTTGTCAAATTACAAATTGACGATTTAAATGTCCACCATACATCTCGGTAAATTTAATTAATTAATTAATGATAAAAGCCATAAACATACGTTGATAAATGTTCAAAAAGTTTTTCTAATTATGTTACTTTTAATTGAATAATAATTTAATAAAAATTTGACAAGTCCAGAATTTTTTATAACGAGATTCAGTATTTAATAAATTTCATTTTTAAAGAATTACCTTAAATCGTTTTATATAGCTGCTACTTTCACAAAGAATATTAATATTAACATTGCAATATTATTTCAATGCCCTTTTAATTATGACACTAATTTAATAATAGAATTTAAAAATCTTTCGTTGAAAACATTTTTAAATTTTCCCGCCATTCGTGTCAACTGATGACGACAAGGCTTGCAGCTTATAAAGACCCGAAAGTTACCCACCTTCAGGTCGTTGGTTAGGTTAGTGGTTAGGGTTCTTGGCTGTTGTGTTGCGCGTCCGGGTTCAATCCCCAGCTCCTCCAAATTTATTTCCGAAAATTGCGCCGTTAATGTTGGGGAAAAATAAAAGAAAGCGCAATAAGGGAAAAATAAATTTTTTTAATTTTACTTTTATTTAATAAATATTATAAAACATTTATAATAAACTTACCTTATAAAATTCACTGAAAACTTGCATTTTAATTTTACAGGAAATTTGTCTATATATCTTTAGAGTACTTTCCGGAGATAGTTTTAAAGAAATTCACAAAGCAAATTTCTGTAAAACTCAAAATTTAATATTTCCTAAACTTTTATCCACAATTTTTCGGCAAACTTAATCGGATAACTATCCTGAACTTCGCACCGCGAGTTATAAAACCGAGGACATATAGAGCTCGCCTGAACTTCCCCTGAAGCTCCCCAACTTAGTTTCCGAACTTAACACGGGGAACTCCCCGCGAACTCCCTGCGAAAAACGGTGCTGTCTGGGGCTGGTAAATTGAAACAAGAAGGTAGAGTGTGATATGATTCTCGCTTTGATGGGGTGTTTCTTTTTTATATTGAGAAACAAAGATAGC